ATTTGCAGGTAATCCTTTTTGTAAAATAAATGAATTAATTGCTTCAAGTAATGATTCTGCAAAAGTATCAGATACTGCAGTAATTCCTAAATAGCGTAAGGTTGAAATATTATTAACCATATGTTTTGAAACTAGAGCTAATGTTTTTTCGTCTTTTGATACTATATTACTTTCATCTACTAATAAACTCTAACATGATGATGATTTTATTTCATTAATTACTGCTTCTTCGATTGAGCGGATTAAAGATACTAATAATTCATGTCTACTAACTTTATTTGTATATGTTGCATAATTAGATCTAGATGTTTTTTGTTATTTAAACTATGGTAAAGTTGGTGGTCAAAATACTTATAAAGGAATATCACTAACCATAGAAGTAGGATGTTCTTTTTGATAATTAACTAAATTAGCTAAATCAGAATAAATATTAATAGCAATATTTTATGAAGTAAGAAAATAAATATTGCATATTTGAGTAATTACACTATTCATGCCCATTTCTAACATTTGATTTATGCCCTCTTTAATACCAGTTTGGCTTGAATTAAGAATTTGCAAAGAATTTTTGTGTTCAACTGAATTTTCGTGTCTTTTAACAAATTCTAATTTCATAGTATTACATTCTGATATTACCCATAAACTATTACCTTTTGCTTTTTGGCAAATAGTACAAAACATAAAAATTTTATTATCAATAATTTGATATTCTAACCAAGGTCGTCCTATTTGCCAAGATGATTTAAAAGTTAAATTTCTTTTTTTAAACGATCAGGATTTTGATTTTTTCTTTTTTGTTTTGATATATTGTAATTTTTTTTATTGTTATCATAATTGCGAGGACTACGTCTAGAAGGAGTGTGTGATGAATTAGATTGTAGTGTAGATGGAGGAGTAGTATCAGTTAAGTCAACAGATATGAAAAAATTTGTTATTTGTTGTGACATTTTTAATCAAAAACTTATTAAAATCACTAAAAAAAAATTATTTATTAAAATTAAAGTAAGCGATATGTAAAAAAAAATGTGTGAGAAAAAATGCGAGAAAAAAAAAGTGTTTCAAAAAATTCGGCAACTGTTTTGAATCTGAATTGACATAACCAGATCATTGATTTATTAAATTACTATTATAACCCCACTATTTCATTTGAGAAACTAAATAAAAATAAATAATATTAGAGTTATTTCACAATACCATTATCATACCTACCATACTAACCAACTCAATTATATTTACTGTGAAATTTATTTGCTCAAGAAGTCTGGCATTCTACAAAAAGAAAGAATGTTAGAAACATTTCTTATTAACAACTATCTCCATTCATATACTCCTATTCATACACCCTATTTACTCATTTACTTGTTCAGTTCGTCTTAGTTCAGTGTTTTTACAAAAGAAGTTTTCTGGCATCCTAAAGAAAAAAAGAAAAATATTATTATGTTTCTTTTAACGAAATTGATACCAACTCTCTTCTATATACTTAAGTTGGTTAATCCAGTTGTCCAAACTTCAAAACTATAAAAGAAAAGTTTTGCATTATAAAAAAGTTCAGCCTACAAAAAAGAATAACAAAACGGCTTTTATTACATAATATGTGCGCAATATGTGCTTGATATATAATACGTTATTAATGTGCACAAAATGTGCAAAAAAAAATTTTTTATGTGCAAAATGTGCATATTTTCATAATGTCATTTGTGCACAAAAAATTTTCGATGTGCTCATGTGCACATTATGCACGTGAATTTTACACACTGGTCATTGCTATCACTATCATCACTATCATCATCATCGCTATCACCACCATCATCATTATCATCGTCATCATCGCCACCAATAATATCATCACTAGAATCTTCATTATTATCATCCGATATGTCCAAAGAAGTCAAAATCTTGCAAGTCTTGAAAGACTTTATAACTATTTCGTTTAGAATTCCTTTCAAGCACGTTTGACCCACTCACAAACATCAGATAACCTAGCATGACGAAGGTTTTCTAATGTGGTTACTCTTGCACTACCTTCTGCCATCACCTAAACTCTGCTTCCTCTACTCAATGATCCAATTATATAGTTTTTTTCAGCAACTGGGTAAAAGCTTTTTCGGTCAGAACTTATTCATTTGCGGTTTTGATTTGGTTCTTTAAACCATTTTTCATTTGAATTAACCCAGCGACTAAATATGCTTTATTAAGTTCAAAAGTATTTGCCACTCTAATTATTCCATTTTTTTAGCATAAGTGACAACTTGTCTCTTTTGCTCAATAGAATAGGAATTGCAGCTTCGTTTGAGGGTTTTTTTATTAATAGATATTAGTCTTTTTTGCTTTTGTGGTGACATATTAAGTTTTAAAATAAGTTTAGAAATAAGTTCATAATTGATCACGCGTGATTTATTGATCGTAATATTGTATTACATTATACAGATAATTATTTTGCGTAATATTATAACAAAATGTTTATTATGCAGCAATTTTTTCGTTTCTTCTTCTACGAAAGAAAAGATACCTGAAATTAAGCAACCCTATAGTAAAAAAGAGTTGCTTAATTTTGGAACAATACAGTATTAATAATAAAATACAAATATTTTATAATAATAAAAACTTTTTAATATAATATAAAATAAAAAATAATATTATAATTAGTAATATATACTGTAAATAAATGAAGTTAATAGTATTAAATAATGTAAAGTTAGTAATATTAGTAATATTTAACATTAAAAAACAAAATAAAATAAATATAATTAGTAATATAAAAATGTTAAAAATAAATAGAATAGATATAATTAGTAATATAAAAGAAAAAATTAAACATAATTAGTAAAAAATTAAATGTTAATGATAAAATTTAATATTAAAAATATAATATTTAAAGAAATAAATATACTTAATAAAAGGAGAGAAGAGGGTGAATGCAAAAAATAAAAAAAATAAAAAATGGCGTAATAATAAATAAATAAAAGTAAACAGAAGATCTATGTGTAATGTAAATAAGTCACATGATTGGTTAATTTACAAGATCATATAATAAAACAAAAAGTATAAAGCAAAAATTGAAATAAACAGGTGAGTGGAAGAAATAATATTTTTTTTTACACACTTTTATGAAACTCAAAATAAATTTTATTCATAATAAAAGATTTTTAATTTTTCATTAATTATTATTATTAAATATACATTTAAAAAAAAATAAAATTCTGCATAATATAGTATAATTATAACTTTGAATTATTATAAATTACTATTTAATATAACTTTAAAAATGCAATAAAATTTAGAAAAAATAATAATTGTTCAAAAATTAATCATAATAAATAAAGTAATAACTTTTAAATACTTTAATAAATATTTTTATTTGATATTTTTTTTTTTATAAAGTATAATATTTCGTAATATGATAAAATTGATCTACAATTGGTCAAATTTATAATGTGACACTAAAATTTTTTTCAACTAATAAGTGTAATTTGTAATTTAAATAATTGATTTTGAACACTTATAGGTAATCCTATTTTCTTACATATTAATATACAGTTTTCTTACTTTTTTTAGGTTTTCAGATGATGAAATTAGTGTTTAGCATCATTACTTTTCAGACTGTTCTTTTTGCTTTAGCTATGGTATTCACACCTACTTGAGATTCTTTCGTGATGAATCTCAAAATAATTGCTTTCAGTTTTTCTCAAATATCTCTGGTTATAGTGATCAGATCAGGATAATTTTAGTCTTGTTTGAAAAACCAGAACCTACCGCATCTGTATATCAAATTTGATAGAAATATAATTGGTATATATTGAGATATTCACGTTCAAATTTCGTTATAACAAATTATTTTTTTATTTTTTTATCAACTCTCAAAGCTATTTCATTTTTTAATATATTAATATATAGTTTTCTCACTTCTTTTAGGTTTTCAGATAGTAAAATTAGTGTTTAGTATCATTACTTTTCAGACTATTCCTTTTGCTTCAGCTATAGTATTCATACCTGCTTGAGATTCTTTCATGATGAATCTCAAAATAATTGCTTTCAGTTTTTCTCAAATATCTCTAGTTCTAGTAATTGAATTAGGATAAAAGGATCAATACTAACTCTCACCTATAATTATCATACCAGAAATTAGAGCAAAAAATTATATTCAAAATAACTCACAACCTTATAATAAAAACAAATGAACAATACATAAAAATAATAGTAAACAGTCTGCAAACTCTAGTTTAGAGCCTAACGAACAAACTTTATTAGAAACTCCTTTAACAAACAATAAAAAATAAAATTTACTTCAGAAAATATGAAAACTTCTTCAAAAATTATTAACAAAGTTATTGAAAATATTATTCTCATTACTGATAATAATAACTAAACACCTTCTAACAACACTGACGATAGCATAACTAAATCTTTAGACATAAAAATAGATAACGTTCTCCAACTTCTAATATTACAGATATAGTCTAACCTATTCCTTTTCAAACTGCAAAAGATTCCATGTATGCAAAACAAATAAATAATATCAGCAAATCAAAATCAACAAGCATTTCTTCTATTTCTAAAAGAAAAAATAAACAGACTTAGTCAGACGAAATGAATAAAGCTGAAGCTTTGACTTCTAACAAGAACGCAAATGATTGATAATTTAACATAATTATTACGTCCACTTAATTTTACACCACTGATAATGTGACAGACATAAAAGAAAAATTTATCGCTAAAAAACGTAATTTTATCAATACATTATTTATTCACTTTAATGACTTCCAAGAATCTAACTACCTCTTCAAAAACAGAAAATTCATCATCTATTTCAACAGTTTAGAACACCTCACATATGCTATCATAAAAGTGCAGAAAACACAACATAATCTGAACTTTTTAATTGCAGATCCTAACGCTAAACAACTAAAATTAGATGTAGAGAAAAATTACATTATCAAAGTATCAAACATCCCTTTTTTAAATCTGAAGTAATATGAATTTTTTTTGCTAAATTTAGAATGATCACCCATTTTTCCTTAATTATCAGAAGATCCTGGTAGATTGCATTCATTATCTATGAAAGTAATAACGTCATCAAACAATTCTATAATAATACTTAGTTTATTTCTTTTTTAGAGTTTATTTTAAGAGTAGAACCCGCTGATCTTGATCCTATACAAACTACACTAAGACAACAATTTGAGTTTAAACTTACTGGCCTATCACTCAATACTGATCAACACTCTTTACATAATTTCTTGACTTAAATTAAAGCTAAATCATGCTTCATTTCAAGAGATCAATAATATCAATTAAGACCTTACACATTTGTTAATTTTGCTACTATTGAAGACTTAGACGCTGCAACTGCTTAACACCATAAATTCAAAGGAAATGTATTATACTAGATGAGTCTTGCAAATAAATACTGTAGAAAATGTGGATTCTCAGATTATGAATTTAAAGATTGTTCTAAAAAAATCTCTACTAATCCATACAAACCCTTATATGAATGTTTCAAACTTAAATAGTATAGACTATTACATCCTCAAATGTCAATTAATACTCATAGTAATATGACATATACTAAAGCTGCTTATACTAAACCACTAATCAATAATAAATCACCTTTTAACAATGTCTAAAATAGATCTGCATCTTCTTCTAATACTAGTAAAACCATTCCTACATTAATTAAAAAAGTTAAAAAACTTGAAAACAAATTCAAATTACTTTCTGATTTGTTCAACAATATTAAAGAAGAAGTTATGATTCAAAAACATAACTAAAGAGACATCAATTATTGTCTCTCGAAACTTGAATTTTTACAGAAATACCAGATGATAACATTGATGAAACAATTCTCACTAGACAACAGGATATCAAAGAAACTCCAAATCAATAACCCAAACCTCTAACCCAAAACTTTTCTATCTCAAATATAACGTCTATAGACATATAATATTGT